TTTCAAAGTTGGTTTTTAACGCAGAATAAGAAAAAAAACTCTTAAAGCTCCCACCCTCACTGTTTGACAGATATACACTGATTTCTCAAAATAAGGCGATTTTTCGAACTTTAGAATTTTCCTGCTTTTTCGAATTTTGACCCTCAAAACGTTTTTTTTTGGAAGATCGAATCGAAACACACATATTCGGAATCAGCTCGACAAACTCTATCCAACTATGTATATAAATCGAAAAAATAAAAAGTGGTTGAATTTTGAATTTTGAACACCTTAATTGAAATACAGGTTAAAAAATAAAGTGAAATTTATTCTTTTCAGATACATCATCGACATCCTGTAGTGAATCAAATTTGAATAATTGTCATTTATCATCAATATCAGTTAACTCACCATATCTTAATTTAGAAACATTTATTCATCATCGACGATGTAGAAGAACCCGAACAGTTTTTTCAGGTGAGTATTTGTATGTCCATATTTATAAAAGAAAATGTTTTCTATTTAAAAATGTCAAATTTTCAGATGCTCAATTGATGGGCTTGGAAAAACGATTTGAAACGCAAAAATATTTATCCACACCCGATCGAATCGAATTAGCTGGTACATTAAACTTATCACAATTACAAATAAAAACTTGGTATCAAAATCGTCGTATGAAATGGAAAAAACAGGTACATCATATCCTACAATATATAAAAATTTTATGTAATTCTATTTTATTTTATTAGGCTCTTCAACAATGTAAACAAGCACCCACAAAACCGAAAGGACGTCCAAAAAAGAATTCTATTCCATCTTATGCTGAAATTAAACGACTTGAAAATGAGGTTGCTGTTGAACAACAAGCGAAACAAGCTCTAGAAGATAGTTCGTGTATATCACGCACAAATTCATTTTTAATTAGTGATATACAGTTGAACAATGAGGACAATGCACACTGAATACAACGACGACTTTATCAATATTGAAAAATAAGAGCAAATTGTTGTAAATATTTTAAAGTAAATTATTTTGTTTCTTATCGTTACTACCATTTCATTTGATAAATAAATCTTTTTTTCATAATAGATGAACGCTGTTTTGTTATTATAATTCATCTATTTCTATTTGTGCATACATTAACACTAATAAAGAAAAAGATCACGCTAGAAGACTCATATAAAATTGACGAAGTTCTAATCATATCGGAAGTAGCAAATATAGTTTTCAAATAACGGTATATAATTGATACACTGTTGTAAAAAAAATCAACAGATACAGAATATTTTCTTTAGAATGTGGAATTGACATTAGTAGAAGAAATAAAACATGTTTCGGAGACGCATTCTCTCCTTAAACTGAGAAAGGATTTGATACGCAATGCAATAGTACAATCTTCGGATGCGCTTCGCTCCATTTTGAGAAGGAAGGAGTACAGAGCCTTGGACGGTTTAAAGAGACGTCGAGATATTGTGGTTAAACAAAGGACAAGGGATTGTAGTGATGAGCAAAGATGGTTTTGAAGAGAAAGCCTACACACTATCAAATGATACACGAAACTATGCAAGGGTTGCAAAAAAAACCATGTGGGAAACATATAAAGCTGTGAAGGATAAAATTGATGAACTCATAATACAAGGCCATATTCCATCTAGACTCGCACGCAACATTAGACACAGAGGTCTTCCTAGATTGCCGAACTTTTATGTACTTCCAAAAGTGCATAAGAGAGGTTGTCCGGGTAGACCGATAGTGTCAGGTATTGGTCATTGTACTGAGAGAGTATCAAAATTTCTACGTCACGTCCTATAACCTTTTGTCGACGGTTCATCTAAATTATTAAGGAGAAATATCACTGCGATTTCTATAGAGCTCTCTCACTTAACTCCTGCAGGATCCTGCAGGATTCCGCAGCACACCGTGACAGTAGTCTCCACTAGGATACGAATTATCATTTTTTAACAAGTACGGAGAAAATTCGAAGTCCTTCTGAAGCTCCCAATACTGTTTATTCACCATCTGGTTATTTGGGATAGTTTAGTATGCACCATGATATATTTAGAAAAAGTAGTAATATGAATACCGTGTCGGGAAAGTCAGGGTTGAGTTGCTAATACCAACGTGAACTCACGTTCGATTGTGTCGCCTTCCATGTCGTTAAAGTCGGTCCATTCTGGACGATTACTTGCAATTAGCAATAAAATCGCCAGTTAATCGCAATTTTGACTATAATCGTTGACAACTTGCGATATATCGGCTATTTTTAACAACGGGTGATTAATAGGCTTGCATGGAAAATCGCCAGTTGTTAAAAATCACTGATATATCGCCATTCTTAAAAAAATTGCAAATTAATTTGCGATCCTGGTGATTTTTTTGTTTTCTTAATAACAGTCAATTAATTGGTGATTTAAATCAAATGGTTTTTATTATTCACTGTTTTATTTTGCAGTAGAGTAAGTATATAAGGAGCCCGATTTCAACGAGAAATGTTCTTCTTTTCAGATTATCTTTTTAGTTTAGGTTAAAACGGAGTTATCAAGAGTACGCTCTGTAGTTTCCTCAGAGCTGCCTCATTGTTTCGATTTGAGTCAGCCTTGTACCGAGAAGCTCAGTTGGCCGTTAAACTAAAAAATCGCCGATTTACTGACGCTTAAGCGCACGATAAATCGGTTGATTAATCGCTAAAAAGTCGTCGATTTATTGCCGATTTTGACTACATGGATTAGTATCTGGTGAATTTTTGATATAGCTCTTGATATATCATAAACTTCAGTCACGGAAGTTGGCTTTATTTAAGATAGATATACTATTTCTAAGACGATATTGTTTTCCTCTTTCAACTTGCACTGCTAAGGAATCTGCACTCGAAAGAACAGTATACAATTCGCAGCAGAAATACAGAGTTTTAAAAGACTTTTGAAAGAAAACCTTATTGTTTCCAACTATTCTAAGGTGCCGGAAATTCAAAAGGTTATTGATAAAATGAATCTGGTCGAATTATACATGGTTGGATAGAGCACGTCGAGCTGATCAAGAATATCACCTTTAAAGATTTTTAACGTCAACTGTACAGCAGAAAACTGTAAAAACAGAAAAACGTGAAAAACCGACTGTTTCTGAGAAACCGCATGATTTCCACACTTTGTTGACCTCGAACAATTTTCTGCTTATTTTATTTGGATTCAGCATCAAATGCTGAGTAGATCAGAGTGACTTTGAAAAAATTTCAAGTCAT